AAAATACTGCAGGACTTCATAATGGACAAGCAAATGTAACCAATGTTATATCTCTATGTGCAAATAATTTGCATGAATGGTTCAGAAAATGAAAGGAAATTGGTCTACGTGAAGGACTGCAAGTATGAGCAGGGGAAACAGAATCAGTGTTTAGGTTCACTTACCAGAGGAATCATAGATTAGAGCCATAGAATCGCTAAGGTTGGAAAATACCACTAAGGTTACCTGGTCCAACCATCACCGTACCCACTAAATATGTCCCTCAGTGCCACATACCCTTTTCCAGTGCTCTTTTTAGGACAGTTAGAAGTAAAGCTGGCCTGGGCAGACATTTTAGTCAGCACGTTGAGTTTGGTGAATACAGAATAACCGAATCACTCTGAGAGACTTTCACTGCAGCAGCTCCGCCTTGGGCTTGTGGTCTTTGGCTCTCCTCTATTGAAGTGCCTGATAGACTTTATCTGGAGACATTGGTGCTGTTGCTGCTGCTTTCCCTCCTCCTCAGATCTTCCTGATCAGGATGTGTAAAAATATATTTCGGAACAGTTTGAACAGCATAGAAAAATCTTGATTGAAATTCCTCAAACCATCACAGCACAGCTAAGCAACGCTTACTTTGCTGGTCTTGAAGATCTCTTCTACCACCTGTGTGAGATTTATTTGGCATCCCTTGCCTGGAGTTTTGTTCATGGACTTGTTTGTGCAAGGCCATGCCGCTGCGAGGAGTTTGCTGGAAGCCCTGAGCCAGGTTTCCCTCTGTAGAGAATGGCAGAGGTTAGCATATCTGCATCAGCTGGGATTCAGCATCCAGTGTAAAAGCGAATATCTAGCAGGAATTTCTTTGTGTAAAGATGAAACACAGCGTTGCCTTCCTCTGCAGCCTGTTTTTATTTTTAAATTAACCCAAACCTGAGGAAGGAACATAAGCCATGCTGAAATATACATTTCCATTGAGACTGTGTGTTTGTGTGCAGCTTTCCAAAATTAAGCTTGCACAGTGTCAAATGGGGAGTTGGGTGTGGAAATGCAATTAGCTGTGACTTGGAGCTCTTATCCAAATGGGCCAGCAAGTGCAAGTGCTCACTTGGAAACTTGACCAAGTGGCAAGGACTCCTTAATGTGCATCAAAATGAGCAGAGTAAATAAAGCAAAATGTTAATAATATTTTGTATTCATTTCCAAACTACTCCTTTGGGTGATGTAAACTGAAGTGCGCTTGGCAGGTGATGTTAAATGATGTTTTTCCTGTGGAATGGAAGCTGTCTTCCCTCTAGGAGCATTTGTGCTTTTCTGGAGAGTTTTGAGATCCTGAAGGGAAGACATAATATATAATCTGATGTTATTTTCACATTGTTGTCTCCCAGTCTTCTTCTGATGTAACTAACAGGCAGTCTGACCTGGTGCCTGGTAGCCCTGCCTAGAGCAGGGGGGTTGCAGCTGCATGATCTTTAAGGTCCCTTTCAAAGTAAGCCATTCTGTGACTCTATGAAGTCAGCATTGCCTATCAGGTGGGCTATGGAATATTTTTTCCAATGGGTAAGTGCGTTCGTAGAATTCCTGAAAGGCTTGGTTAAGGCTCTCAGTGAAAGAAAACAAGGCTTTCTGTTCTTCACTGCCTTTCAGTCATTGCAGGGTAATGCTGGCGCCCAAGGATATTTTCCGTGGAGAATGTATGTAGGTAAACAAGCAGGAGGGAAAAAAAGTAAAAGGGGGGAAAATAGATAGAAAAAGGAGAAAGAAAAAAGGAGAAGCAGAATTGTGTTGGCTTGTTAAAATATCTAAAATGATTTTGCTTTTAATTAGGAGATTGCTTGGCCTTTTTCCACAGCAAGAGGTTGGAACTAGACAATGTTTAAGATCCAACCCAAGCCATTCTATGATTCTGTGATTCTCTAATTCTATTTATGATTATTTATTTTTCATGTGATGGCCTGAGTTTCAACTCCCACCTTTCTTATGTAGCTTATTTATGTTGTTTACACTCAACTCTTTCCTTTAATTTTCTGAAGTAGTATTTGTCTTGTGCCTGAATCTTGGGAAGCTGGATATATGGCCACCACTGTCTTCTGTGTGAGCGACTGTTTCTTCTGATTCAGAGCTCCTGTATGCTGAAACCAGTAATGATTCACTCTCACAGCAGTGGTGTGAGCAGTCTCAGCTTTTACATGCCATCTGTGTTACTGAGCTGAATCTGCAGAAACGGGACCCTGTGCACATGGCTTTTCCTCTGTTCACAGATGAAAATATTAAAGCAAATCCGTATGGTCCATGAGATGTTTTCTGTGTCAGGAAGGGAGTGAAGCTGCCTGTCAAACCAAGCTGTTCCCTCCGATGAAAGGAGACTGTTTTTAAACACTCCTTTCCATAGTATTTTGCACGCCAGCCATGTGTGTTTTCTCATCTGACATCTCATTGAGCTCCTTGGCTGCGGTACTGCGAGAAGGAAGGGTGTGCTGGGAGGGAAGGAAATAATCTCCCAGTATGTACACAAACTCATGTGCGCACATACTCTTAAATCAATCTTAAATGAATTGATTTTTTTTTTTTTTAATGAATATGGAAGAAAATTAATCTGGTTGAGTCAGGCTTAATTGCTTCCCTTTTGTTTAGATTTTCTATTTTTGCACAAGCAGTGCTGTGAGCTATTATTAGCTACAAAGGTGGAGACAGAGGGCAAAGGGCTCATTTATAATTCCTACAGCAGAGCACTGAATTTTAAAGCTAAAAGGCAAGTTGATGAGCAGCTTGAAACACAGATTCATCCACTTAGCTTGCTGAGTGTTTCTGAAGGCTCATGCTGGTCCAGGGAGCTCTCACAGCTGTGGGACCTGCTGGCTGAAGAAATGAGTCAAAAAGAGATGTATTTGCAAATGAAAGCACTCACCTTGAGGGAGAAGCTTGAAAACAAGCTGATTTAGGCTCATGAACAGGTATTAATGCATCACTTTTGAAAGAAGCAACTGGACTTTGCTTCTCAGGCCAGAAGCTGAGAAACACTAAGATTGTATGCACACATACAAACTCAATTTTGTGATTAAAAAAAATCAGTCCGTTAAGTTTGGAGTGTATGCCAGGTAATGGGATACCATTACAACCACCATCTGCTTCCAGGATCTCAGGGCAATCCCACAAGAAGCAGTTTAATCATGTTGGGCAGGAGATCCTGCAGCGTTAGGTGTGCTATTGCAACGGGGGAGCTGGTTTAGTTGGCACTTTTAGTGATGGATGGACGATCACACTAGATGATCTTAGTGGTCTTTGATTCTGTGATTCAATGAAGACAAGCCCAACCTCAATCAGTTTTTCTCACCCTTTCCTAAAATGCAGTGGCTATTGCAAACTCCTTTTCCTTCTCATCATCGTGAGCTGGGCATCTGCTTTGGGAAGGGGAGGGTTTTGGCATAGGGACCGTTCCAACTGGGACACCAGGGTGGAATTTGGATGGCTACAGCTTGAGCACTGCAGGGTTTCCTCTTCTGAGCCACTTGGATCTGGGATGTGCTGCTGTATGGGGAAGCTTTGGTCAATGAGGAGTTTTCAGTTTTGCTAATCTCACCTCTGGAATTAATGTCCTTTTCTGACTACTTTCTTTGGCACTAGTTCTTTTTCTTTAGTTGCTATACTGAAGCTTGTTCAGTTTGCCATGCTAAAGGGCATCACGAGAATATGCATGATTTTGTAGTTTTTCTTCTAAGGCAACAAAACAAAAATAAGCTTAAAAATAAAAATAAAAATGAATCACCTCAGTATAAAATGTTTTTCTCCCTGAAAGTTCCTGAAGCATAAAAAGAGTTTCTTTTCTTGAAGAGGAAATATTACTAATGTAAATGTGGTGCTGTTGGCAGAGGAATAATATGCTGTCTATCATAAGGCAGGCGACTGAGGAGGAGCTGGAGTGATGGAAATGCCTCTTGGGCATGTGAGATCGTGGGGATAGGTATTCACAGAGAGGACGCTTTCTTACATGTGCCCAGGGCTTTCTCTTATCTATGAACATGAACCCACAGTGAAATAGAAATGTTCCCATATTAATAGTGCATTGGAGATAGCCCTCATCTGAAAAACACAGTAATACTGCACAACTGGGAGCCCTTTCGGAGCAGGGAATTGGACTAGCAATTTCATAGTGTGTTAGTAACAAAACATTTTGGTTCTGTATAAGCAAATGGCAAGGTTAGTGGACACATCAGTCCGGCTGTCATTGTCCCAGCAGTAACCAATTTAGAGGCCCTATATTTTTCTGCTATTCCAGTAAGGGAAATAAAAGTAGAAAGTTAAAAATAGAAATCCCAATATGAATTAAAGCACAAAGAGTGAACAAGCTTGTAGTATCACTGTATAATTTTAAAATCCTCTTTTTTTCCTTATTATCTGGATGATAATATAGGTGTTACACTGCAAATTCTGGCAGTGTCTGTCCTGCTCCAAAAGGTCACCTTGATACAGGAAGATGTATTTTTGGCTGTAACATGTGAGCATGGACACACAGCCCAGGATCTATCCAGCCTCAATTTGTATTGGTGACTCCTGTTTAGATTTCCCTTCACCTAATGCTGCTTATGGGTAAGAGAAGCATGAGAAGTGTCCATGGCTTTGGCTTTTAGAAGGAGGTTAAATGGAGCTGGTTAAAAGATTTCTTCTGGTGCCTTTAAATGGAGCACAGTTATTTCTTTTTCATTGCTCTCTCAGCTTCGACGGATATCAAACCTTCATGAGCTGGCTGTTGCAAATCAGTTCCTGCAGTACCATTGTATACAACACTGCGGCACTAACTTTCCTAAGGTTAACTGTCATAGGATCTCATAATCATGGAATATCATGAGACAGAAGGGACCCAAAAGGATCATCGAGTCCAACTCCACACTGGACCACCCAGCTGTTACACACTCTTGGTTTCATTTAGGTTATTTTTTGTTGCTAAGTTTCCTAATGATTAAAAATTAATACTGTTTCCAAAGCAGGAGCCAAACCGAATGTGGAATTATCTTCTTGCTTTACAGATATCCTCGTCGATGGCAAGCTTTGTGACTGTGACGTGGTGGTGGACTGCAAAGTCGGTGACCCGGTCCCACTGCAAGTGAAGCTGACCAACTGGAGCAAGCACAGCGTGGGACCCTTCGCGCTCACCATGACGCCCTACCAGGATTACCAGAATGGGGTGCACAACTATGAGCTGCAGGATGCCATCACTTTTGTGGGATCCAACACCTTCTACATCGATTCTGTAAGTTTTTCTGTCAAAGGTATCACTGTTCTGGATGACGTGTATTTGCATTAAAAAGTTTCATTGCTTAATTGTGCTTTATAATGCAGATTCATTTTTCAAAAATGCCTGTTGCTAAAAGTACTGTGGGCTTAGGGAGGTAGAACCATCTCTCTGAGATGGTTTAAGACTGTAATTGCCTGTACTGTAAGCCACCAGCAAACTATTGGAGTCAGTAACTTTTAGTCACTCCAGATTTGGCAAGATGTGAATGAGTAACTTAGAAAAAATGTGTAATATCATACTGCCTGTCCCGTGAGCCATCCAGTGCAGCCTACAGTAATAGGTTTTAAGTAACTTCTTCTCTTCAGTGCATGAGAATTAGTCCCCTAGGCTAAGCCAAGGAAATCATCAGATCAGTTTTAGTTAGATCCCAAGGAAGGAAAAAATACAAATGCTAAACATTAATGACCAGAAAGATGAGCAGGTTCATTTCCTGGTCTCTTAGCTTTATTTTTACTATGAAAATAAAGAGAAATAGAAATGCAAAACTGCACTTAAAATGGTACAAATTTTTCTTATTTAAAAATAATTGAATTTTTAAATTTTCTCTCAAATTGTTATTTTGAAATTTTTTGCTTGTGAAGCAAAACACTGAAAATAGCTCTTGAATATAACTACTCTCTCTTGCATCCTTTCCCAAAAACCAGCAATGACAAAAAATCAAAGGGATGAAAAACATGAACTATATGACAGAGTGGAGTAAGCAGTATCTCTAACTTATAAGCAAGAGGGGAAGGATGACTGTTTAGGATTGTGCTTAGGACCTTTGCTTAGGTCAGCTCTTCACACTGCTAATAAAATGTACCTGTCAAAACTGAATACTTAGGTGAACCTTAGTAAGAAAGGAATTAAAGGTTAACCACAGGGACAGTCACTGTGCGTAATTTTCAATTACATACCATGGGAAGAAAATATTTCTAGAAGATAATGAGCGTGGAATAAACCATCAGCTTGAATGTTAATGGATTAGCATCCATATATTCATAGCTGAATAATTGAGATATGTCAACAGAAATAATCAAGAGGCAGCTTCCTTTGACTCCCTTTCTGACAATGTGGGTTTTTTAATGTGAGTGGCACTGTGTGGATATCCAGCTGCCTAAGGGCTGACCCTCAGGGCTAATGAGGGAAAAGGGAGGTGTCAGCATATATTCCTGCCTTCTGATTGAGTCTCCTATGGGCAAGAAGTCATGGGGTCACATCTCTTGAGCTGCCCAGGCAGTCTCCTCATACGTTACACTCCCTGTATTCAGTATTTAGACATTTTCACCGTAAACACAGTACCCAGAAAGTAAAAAATGGAGTTGTTTTCTGATGTTTGTCCTCCTTTTCATCCAAAAGGGTGAAATGAAGAGACTGTTTACTCTCCGACAACAAGTGCTGTACTTCACACTGTACAGTGTTGATACATGTCCTGCACAGGCTGCTAATGAAAATGCTTAGTCACATTTCTTTGAGGCATAGAGCCCTGATCACGGAAGAAACTTCTTCAAACAGTGGATCTAATGCTGTCAGAGGCCCTTTCATCCCCTGTAATAACTAATTCAGTAATGGAAAAAATATTTCAGAAAGCAGCACCTGTTTTGGGGACAAGAATAAAGTCCTGGTTTGTGCATTTGATGCTTCAGGGAAGAACGAACATATTCACAATTGTGTTCATGCTCCGTGTTTGACAGAAGTTCAGACACTGGTAAAGAAGCTGAAGAAGCTCATAGTTGGATGACATGAAAGAGATTCTCTGTGTCTTTTTTATAAACTAAGCTGAGACTCTGGATGAGATACCTAGCTGGTGTAGCTCCATGTTACCCTCTCAAAGCTATTAAACACGTGCTCATTATTTTTATATACTGAGGTTGCTGGCACATGATTATTTTGCTTGTTTAATGGAGGTGCCTTCAAATGCTGCCATCTCCCAGTTTTGCCCCTCTGCAGAAAGATGCTCCCCTCTTCTGCAGGAGTGATGCTGTGAGTATGTGTGGCTGTGCAAAGTTGGCCAGTTTATCTCAAACTACATTCGTCAGCAGTTTGAGCTAATTGGGCTGACATTACATTGACACTAGCAAGGAGGTGGTGACATGATTTATTGCATTGCCGAGCCGGGTGGGAGGGAGGATGAAGAACTAGTGTGTGCTTTGGTGTAACAGTAGTGTGTGGTCAAAAACAAATGGAAACATCAGGTATTACAGCAAGATACTTCTAATACCCTAGAAATTTGGTCTTTTGTCATGATGATGGAGAAATAGCAACAGTATTGGTGCTCAGTTGAATGTGACCTCTCAGGAAAAACAAAATAAAATATCCCCCTGCTTTCCTAAGTATTACACAGAACTTTTAACACAGAACTTTACACAGAACTATTAACTTATTGTAAGGCCTATGCCTTAACACTGAACAAATCACAATTTTTTTTGTTGCTATTTTTAGACTAAAAAGTTTCAAACCGTTTTCTGCATCTATTTAGAAGACAAAGAATGCATGCAGGAATGTTTAGCGCACATACACTGCTCCACATGTATGAATGAACAGAGTTTTTTTTTAAGGGTAAAAGTCACACAATTTTGTTTTTCACTTTCTTGTCACGTAAAGGTAGATGATTTCTCTTGAAGGTAGTGCTTATTCATCTCTCTGTGATCCCACTTCCATTCAGAGCAGCAGTCTGCACTTGTGCCCCAAAGGCTCTGCTAGGATACACTACCTCAAAAAGCAAAGTCCTCTGCTCAAAATTTTAAAGAATATTTAGATATTTACATGCATTTAAATCACATAAAGCCTTTATTTTTAAAATTAACGTTTAATTTGATTAGCCTTACCTTTCTATGTCTAGCAGAAAAGGTGACTTCATTGGTTATCATTTAGATAGTGTACATTTTTTTAGAGTGAGGTTTTGAAACATGAGGTAACATTGATGGATGCCCACCTATTCAAATTCTTCTGCATTTATTTATTATCTTGCTTTGCAATCTGAAGTTTAACTTTAGCCTTATTATTAAAAATTCTTTTTTCTTACCAGTATTTTGACTAGTTGATTGATCCGACAGAGCTGCTTCTTGCCAAATTAAAAAAATGATACGCTACGGAGATTCCTGTAACTACCAATAATTCGTCTTCCTTTGTTGTTCCTGCTTTTGCCATTACTGTTCTCAGGCAGTTTTTTTTTAGGTGTGTTATCTCTCAGTAGCTCAGATGAGTGGTAGTGGAAGATGAGGAAGAACTCATTAGGAGATGGTCATTTTGAATCAGCTCAGAAGCTATGACGAACATTTGCTCACTTCTGGCAGGTCCTCTGTGGCCCATCTGGCCAAATTAGTTTTCTTAGCACTTCTGCTAGCACTGTAAACTCTCTGGGGGCATTTACAGTAGCTGGCATGAACCCTAATCTCCAACTGAGTTGCTTCAGTACTACAGCAGTATAAATAATTAGTAGTTAGTTCTCAGGGATCAGTCCCACATGGCAGCCTGAATCGGGGAAGGATTAGGATGGAGCTAGAAACTTAATTTTTCTTCTGTCTCGGAGGAACTTTTCTTTCTTGAATCTTCAGTCGTGTTTTCCGGGAGCGTAAGCAAGGTCTACATGCAGAGGATTTAGTGGAATTATAGTAAAATCTCTTTGGACTCTGTGGCTTGATTGAGCAAGCATGTGTGTGTACCATCATTCCAGACTGGGGCAACATACAAGATGGTGCCTGAGTGGTGAGATTGCCTGGCCTGCATGCTGCTAGATCAATCAACAGTACAAATTCAGCTTGGATCAGGCATGAGTCTTTATGCAGTGCCTTATGTTTCTCTCAAACTAGCTGAGTCACTTGGATGGTGAATGTCAGCTCCAGTGGGTTACATCCAACTTGTGTACACATCTGTGCAAGGCCTGCGGCATCCCTTCGTGGCCACTGAGTCACCAAGGCCAGTGGAGTTCAGGGAATATTTTGCTTCATTCTGTGTCTGACACCTACATTTTCTCAGATGAATCCTTTTGTTGAACAGATGGCTCAGATGTATTTATCCATTTTATGGATTTTTAGGTGGTTTAGGTTCCAGACTGAGACATCTGAACAAGGAGGTGTCTCCATGGATGCTGGCTGAGCTCTCATTAGGCAAAAGAGTCTGCTGTCCATGGAGCCTGTCTCAGCCTAACACAGATCCCAGCACAGATCCTAGGGATGTGATTCAGTTGCCTAAAACTAGGTATCCTCCAGCATGGGTGTCCAACCTTTTGACTTGCCTGAGCTGCACTGAGCAGAGAGGAATTGTCTTGGTCTTCTTATAAAATATATAATATAGTTAAAGTATATAAATAACAAAACTTTTTAAATTCTCAAATATTTACCTTAAAACATAAAAGAGCAACAAAACCATAAAACCAGTGGGATGTTTGACCTTGTTTTTTGTGAAACTAAAGCATCAATCTTGTTCGATGGCAGTGATTGCAATTCTCAGTGAGTTGTCAAGGTGTTCATCAGAAGTTTTTGATGAAATTTTGTTCTTCCTGTACTTCTCCTTGAAAACAGTTTTTCTCAAATGTGTGTACTGCCAAAAAACAATGACATTCTCTTGAAGGCCGACTCAAAACAAACTGAGCTACCATTGTATTAGATCCTAGAAGAATAAATACTTTGTTTCCTTAACCAGCGACTTAGCACAGCCAGTAGGCCTTGAAGGGAAAATTAATGTGGATGCTTTGGAGGTATTGCCAGCGTGGCAATAAAACCAAAGGTCTATGAGCCCTTATAATTGTATGAAAATTACTAACCAATCACCATGAGGAAAATGGACTGAAAAATTACTAATTTGTAACTTCTGTGTATAAATGTTGTACACATACGTAGTTCAGAGTGTGCACCTGATCTGCAGGAAACCATTGAGCACCAAGGTTTGTGCAACCCTGAAATAAATAAGCAATGTCTCTTCTGATTGTGTGATGATTGACTTATTGCTCATGGGGCAACATATCTGCTTTTCGGACAGTTGTGACTGTGAAGCAAGGGATGTCTTTCTGTGGTAAGAGAGGTCTTAGAAAAACCTAGTAAAGAGACATGATCAAATTTTTGAGTTGAGTATCTCTTTGCACTTTATCCATTCCATTTGAAAACCTGCAGGTAGTGTTTGTTGGCTGAAAACAGAGTTGCAAATATACTGAAGAATTTATGATTATTTCAGCAGCCATGAAACCTATTCTTAAGTTCCTTTGTCAGAATGGAAAGCAAGGCTGCACCTTCTTTACTGTTCACAGTGCCTTAGCTCATCCCAAAATGTTATGAGGTATCTATGTTTTGACAACTGTAGGCTGGCCAAGTAGATCACTCTGTGATCTACTTACCAGTTAGCTCTGCTGGCTGTGCTGAATGTATGCCTACTGTAGTAGGATCTTGGATACGTAGAGTGCATGGAGACACCAAAATGTGTGTTGTTTACTCTCAAAATGAGTCCTGTGTGCAGTATAGCAATCAGTTTCGATCTGGCCCCCAACAGGCAGATCTGGTCACATACCACTACCTGCCTCGCTGATTCTTCCCACTTACAGTGAAAAAAAAGGATGAATGCTGCAGGGACTGCTACCACATAGGCAGAACTTGAAAGAGATGAAGAGACTGTGTTGATGTTGATGTGCCTGAAGACACATCATTTCCACCTGTCAAGAGCTATGATCAGTGCTTTAACAGATATTTTTCCATGGGGCAGCCAGATGAGGAAAAAAAAAAAGGTCTGGGGGCTTCATTTGCTGCTCACCTCCACCCATTACTTGCATTAATGCTTGCCTCTGTCCTTCTCTGCATGCATCAGTTCCACAAAAATAAGGCAGTCAGCCCTAAGCAGGAGGAAAAGGGAGCAGGAGGGGAGACTGATGTTCTGCATGTCCAGACGCAATGCCAGAGGGCACACACTTGTATCCAGTGAGGAGGTGAGATGCCAAGGACGTGGGTCAGTACAGCAGCTGTGACTGCTCTCATTACTCACTAGGATGATACGATGCTGACACAAGTTTGCTGTAGGTCAGCAAAAGTGATCGGCACCAAAGCCAAAGGGAGTCTGGGCTCTGCATCAGCTCTGATGATGCCAGTGCTTGTGAAAAGACAGGCTCTGGTGTAGGAGCAGGATTTTAGGCAGCAAAGCTACCTAATATCCCAGGTGGCTGTAAGGGGTACATGTCTGCTGGCTAAAAGACTCAGCAACAAAGGTCCAAAAAAGCCTGGAACAGAAGCAAACAGAAGCAAACAGCACATTTCCCAGTGATGTCTTGCTAACATTTTTTCCCCTGATTCCAATCAAGTCATGAACACCTGGGCAGCACAGTGCTTCTGGATGTAATGCCAGAGTTTCCTTGGTGGTTGGGTTTGGGTCTCAGCTTGGTTGACCAGGTGTTGTGTCACTGTCAATTGGAATCAGCTGTGGACTCTGTATTGTGATGGATGCTGAAGTGTTTGGGGAGGACCAAAGAAAGCCCGTTACCAATAAATATTAATTAAAGTAAAAAGAAAATACATGCACACAAGCCTGCCTGGGAGAGTAGGGATGGCCCCAAATGATATCTTGAGAAATTATCAGGGTCCAGAGAGCAGAATGGAACTGGTCGGATGGTCTGGATAGAGTGAAGAGCACTACTGAAGAGCACCAGTTGCCATTTATGGAGTCTGTTCTGCTGAACTGACACAGTCTCCTCAGAATCTCTCAAACTAATTCCATCCAATGGTGTGACTTTGTGCCAATTCAGCGTTTCGTATCTGCAGTTACTTTAATCTGGAAATGGATTTAACATCTTGTAGAAGCAGATGTTTATTCAAACAGTAGCACATGCTGAATAGTGATAAGTTTGATAAAGTTAAAAATTACTTGAGTGCCTTGCTGAAATGGTGGAGCAAGATATTGGCAATAAAGATATGGATCATAAATGGTTTGGTGATGAAGGAGGATGTATAAATGTAAACACAGTGCAGTGTTTAATTTGGACAGGTAAATCCCACTGTTTTGGGGATATGTCTTTCTACATTTATTTTGGTGAGGGTGAACATTAAAGATTCCTGATTAGAGTTTGCAGTCAGATTGTGTCTGAATAATAAGCAGGGGTGAATTTAGTTACTGCTAAGTTGTTAAATGGTGTTTAACCATGCGTTTAGCAAGAGTTCACAGCTATGATTTAGAACCTTTAATGTCGATTCTGATGAATGCAGTCTAAGGGAAGATGCTCCTGATTATTCAGGACATTATGAGTGGCTTTTGCCTTAAACCAAATGGGCTTTGAAATCAGTGACTACTGGAGGTCTTCTGGTTTCAGCTGTGCCACAGCACTGCTGCATGACTGAATAACACAGCATTTTAATTTCTCATTTTACCATTGCTAAAATAGGAACAAGAAATTTACTTCTTTTTGTGGAACAGTAATATTGAGATGTTTAATTTATGAATGTTTCTAGAGTGCTTTGAGATAATTTTATGGAGCTACTGGCTTGCAAAGAGCAATTATTTTGTTTTGTTGCGTGTTTAATTTTACTGATTTTCACATTTGCTGTTGCAGGTAAAGCCAACCAAAGACTCTGTGTACTTTGGAGCACTTCTTTTCCTCTACACGGGCGATTTCTATCTGAATATCAAATTCCATGAAGACAACTGCAGCAAGGAGCTGCCTCTCTCCTGGTTCTGCCTTCCTAGTGTCCACATCCGTGCAATGGAGCCCGTGGCCGAAGCTAAGCTGTAAATGTGCTGTGTGCTATTTGATTAACAACAGTGTGCAGAAACGCTTGGCACATCCTCTGCTTGACCCCAGCTTGTTTCTGTCCAACCCCAGGCCACAGTCCCTATTTTGGAGGAACAGCTGAATGCTTTCTGAATTCTGATAGTCGTTTGGGCAGCTGCTATTGCTAATTTAAGAGAGAGAGACAGATTATAACCATGCTAGAGTTTTCCTGATTCCAAAAAATCTTTGAAACTGCTAATACATGCATCATACTTTCATAAAACCTATTGAGAGCAGTGGATTTGGGAGAGCCTTAAGTGCTAAATTTAAGAAGGTTGAACTTAACCATGTGTTTGAAGGTCTCTGCTCCAACTTAAATAATCCCCTTTTAGCATTTCAACAAGAGTTGAAATTTCTGTATGAATTTCCTCCTGGCTTACACTGGATTTACATTACCCTGGGAGTGAGGTTCTCTGTCAGAATAGTTCTCAGACTTGTTGTAGTTCACTTTTCTGCTGAGTATTGGGTGTCTTTCATGGTAAATAGGAGTAAAGATGCCTTTTCCTGTGCTACTGAAAGTAAAAAAATAGTAAACATGCCTTCAGTTATTCTGTTCACCCCCTGAGCTGAGTGCCACTTGCTCCTGGTAGAGTCACTGCCTTTGCTTCAGTAGATCTATTAAGAAATGAGAAAAGGCAATGGGAAGCTAAAGAGTTTGTCCTTGAGAAAGGAAATAAGTCAACTTCTGGGTTGCCTGGGGCTTGCCTGTGAATTCGGGCTTTCATTGTTCTGTTTTATACAATGACAACAGATTGAAATGTTTTCAGAGCTTAAAGAACCACCAGAATTAATCAGCTGGCCATTCTTATCACTTTGAATCAGTTTTTGCAAACTCATCGGATCTGTTTTTTCATGCCAGTAGACTGGCTTTGATTGTGTGGTTGGGTTGTTGGTTTTTTTTCCCTTCTTTTGTTTATTTTGTTGTAGTTAGTAAGACTAATTAGTAGGTAATTAAGGGCGTGGAATTCCTGATTCATGGAACTCCATGATGAGTCTACTGAAGATTCAACCTGTTGTCTTTCAGAAAAACATTCTTGTAGAAAGAAACCCAAACTTTCCCTGTGTAATGCAGGGAGGTGTCTGATCTGTATGAATGAGTTTCGAACCTCTCTGAATCTTTCCTTAAATTTACAGCCTGCAGCTCTTCGTGGTAGATTAATTTCAGGGATGAATACACCAAGATGCAGCAGCAGTGCTCAAATTAGCTCTATAAGTGCAACCCCTTAGCAATTTTTTTTTAGTAGATTTCATCCTAAGGTGGACCCACCTGGCCTGGCCCATCCTGGTCATGCTTGGATAGCTGCTCATTCTGGCTCTGCACTGTGCTCAGTTGTACTCTTAGATGTGACTGGTGCTTTCCTTAGGAACACAACAGTGCTCAAAACTCAATTCATTGCATGTTTGCAAATGACTGTAATGTATCCATCCTCACTGTTTTATTATAAATTGAGGAAAGTATATAGCTCTAGCATGATAGCTTGTGTTTCCAGTGTATACAGGGTATTATCTCCACAACTGTATTGTGAGAATGTTGTCAGTGTTTGCTCCTGAGCTGTGGCTCTGTACACAGAGTGGAAGTCTTCAGACTTAACATGTTGGAAATCAGAGACCAACTGAAGATTTACTAGCAGTGATGTACTGCTCTGTCAGCTGCCAGCACACAGTGTCCACTAACAGAACTCTTCCTTTGATTGCACAGTGGCTCTGGGCCAGAGTCACCCTTGGAAAGAGGGTCAAAGGCAGCCAAGCTGGGCATGTGTTTTTGTTGGTGGAGGTTGGTTGACTAGTTCTGTGCCATAAGGCTGAATTCTCTGTCACTGCATAGGCATATACACAGAAAAATAGCATCCCAGGAGATCAGGAATTAAACCAGTTAATCTTTTCCATAAAAGCTTACTTTTGACATGTGTCTCTCTGCTATGTTACACAACATTGTTGCAGCAAAATCCAAATTGGGTTTCATTCAGTATTCCCAGCAGGTAATCTGCAGATGCTAGGAATACAGCTACGACTATGGAGGGACCACATTGCATTTGAAACAAAAATACTGCGAAGCAGATGCTGTGCAGTCAGGGTGCTTCAGCTTACCCAGCAAGGGATCATTTCCCAGCATGTTTTTGAGAGTGTTCTCTAAGAGCAGTGGGCATTGCTCTTGTGAAGCCTGTACTGAGCTGCAACACTCCTCTGCCCTTTATACAAAGGGGTGATCCCCAGCCCACTGAAGCTGCTGGAATGGGAACAGGTTTTATTATAGCAAAAGATAGCTGCATATTTCCTAGGTTTCCAACATGCCATTATAAATCTGCCATTTGTGCTCATAAATATGTGTTTTATGAGTGAGCTGATTCTTAATGGTCTATCTGCTCATTATATAGCACACCAGTCTGTCCCTTGTCAACTTTGAGACTTAGCTGCTTTTGGCATTTATGATACCTTTCCCAATTTCCTTACACTTCTACTTGTCTTGGTGAGAGAGATGAAACACAAGAAATTCTTCCTTCTGGGGATCATTTGTGACTTGACCAGAAGTTACAGTCCGTGTAATTTGGAGAAGTGGTAAGAGAAGGCACTTGAAATGAGAATACTGCTTTTGGTTTTCTTTTTAATGGAAGCTTTCATTGGAATTGCTGTCAAGATCAGTCTTTGCAGTGGCCTGAGTAAAGGATGATACTTTCCTGATGTGATCTCCTTTTCTTTAATGGAAAATTTGTTTTTCTTTCTCCAAACCACCCAGATATTACTTTGAACACGATGAGCCAAACTGCATTGATACACAAGCTGGTATGATCCCACTTGGTTGAATTAAATCATTCCTAATATAATCACCATTGCTGAGAGCAGGAGTTGCTTCAGTTTATGTATGCATTGGAGAAACTTAAGTTATGTAAATCTAATTATCTGAATAAATACTTGTGTTATTTCCATCTCTGCCTGTCTCTTCTTGATAGTGTTATGTTTCTTTTACTTGTAATAATAATGTATCCCTCAAAGCTGCCTTCTGTCTCTGAAAGGAGAATGTATTTGATTCCATTAATTGTCAGCTGAGGGGAAAGAGGTGCATCACGTGAAGGGTGTCTTAAGCCTCAGTATCCTTTCCGTCCTCCACAGAAATAGCTCAAAGGTAGGAAGGAGAACCAGCTTTGGAGGTATGTTTGGGAGGACTGGTTGAAAAATCCTTCCAAGGCAGTATGTTCTCAGTGTACACCTACACCAGACACAACAAGAAACCTTTGAAGCATAGATCATAGAAACACAGAATATTAAGGTCGGAAAAGACCACTGAGATCATGTAATCCAACCATCAACCCATTCCCACCATGCCCACTAAGCATGTCCCTCAGTGCTACATCTGCATATTTCTTGAATGCCTCCAGGGATGATGACTTCACACACACCCTGGGCCGCCTGTTCCAATGCATCACCACTCTTTCTGATAGGAAACTTTTCCAGATATCCAACCTGAGTCTCCCCTGGTGCAACTTGAATCCATTACGTCTCATCCTATTGCTAGATACCTGCAAAAAGAGAATTGTAGAGGCCAGTAAGGTCCCCTGAGCCTCCTCCAGACTGAACGATCCCGGTTCCCTGGAATTTGCATGGACAGATGCCTTGGGAAGCCACTTTATACCCAAAGACTGTGCCCAGTAGCTGTATATTAGAGGAGAGACAGTGCTCCTCCTCCTGTGTGCAATTGTGCTCCCAGGTGTTCCTTTTCCTAAGCTTTTGCCAACGTGGGCTGCGTCCGTGTCCTCCTCTGGCTTCCATCTTTGCAACTGCAACAAACCTTCCTAAAGAACTGTTCAGCAGTTATTTGGTATAGGGGCAGGCATGCAAGAACAAGGAGGAAACACAGCTAAAAGGGAGTCCTGGATCCTTTGAAGAGAATTCATTGTACATCTCCATGTTCTCTGATACCTTGACTGGCTGATCTGAGCCCCTTTTCAGCATGCAGTCAGTTTGAACAAAATAACATAGACACTGCCAGAAAGAAACCAGGCCAGCTATTGAAATAGTTCAACAACAAGCATCTTGTTAATGGTATGAGGATGTCATCACTGATCTGTGTCAGAAGCAAGACTCTTCTGCTATCCAGTCTGCCTGTGTCCTTACAGTGCAGTCCAGGCCTGTGACTGAAGCCCTGCCATGCTAACAATGGTTTGTGTATGCATTTGCCTACCATCTCCTTCCCCAGCAGCTTGAATCCAAAGTACAAATGCCATGACACCACCCTTCAGGAGAAACATCTCCTGTAAGGATTTAGGCTGGGGCTGTTGGATCTTGAGGCTGTGAAGAGTCAAGCTGAGTTCTGTGTCACCCTCCACAGGAGGCTGGGTCAGACACATTTCTAATCCAGGATGCCATTCATGCAGCTTTTTTATCAGGTGCATGGTCATAGACCCTAGTCAAAGGTTTTCCACTCCTCCCCATGCCATTGCCACATTCATCTCTGCCTGGCTGTGCCATACTGAAACCACAAAATTATTTGGGTTGAAAAGTGGTATTGCAGTACATGTGTACACATGTGGGGGCTATCGATGTGCAACTACAGCACCACATAGACTGTTGAAGTCTACAAGGGCACAGCATCCCTCACAGACACAGTGAGTGCTCTGTGGGGCAGCAAAGAGGTAAAGAAGGAGTGGGAGGATAGAAATTTCAGGGAGAACTGGTGGAGGGCTGCAGGCACGGGCAGCTCTGCGAGGTGCCCAGAGTTTGCTGAGACAAATCAAGGCCAAACGGATTATATAACTGACACAACGTTAAAAATAGGTTAGGCTGTATATTAAGATTTCATTTATAAATTGTTTATAAAGCGTTCATGAATGTTAGATGTGCTAAGCACATTATCACACAAATACTTCATGTTCCGGCGTTATCGATGGCTGTACATAGGGCAGCATAGGTATTGTAGATGGTTATGTCACTGCTATGGAGACCAGCAGTTCAATAGCAATATACAATAAATGATTCATCAAACACTTAAACATGTATTAGGCATTTATGTGTTCCTTATAAATTGAACCTTAATACGAAGTGTGACCTTAAGAAGTGTCAAACAGGGAACTTTTCCCCTTTCATCATCTTTTTTTCATCCTAAAAAAAAATTAAAATTTCCCGGATCACCCTTTTAATAATGGTCATGCTTTCTCCGACCTCTGCCTTAAAATAGGTCAGCAGCTCCTAAGAATTACAGAAGGGTTCAGTGGAAGGAGTGTAGCGTTTGTATGTGCTCCCCTCTGCCTGCAGTCATGCTTGGTGTAGTCTTGGGGGGTCAGGCACCAAGGATGTCACTGGTACCACCTCTGATCTTGCTCAGTCGGGTGTCTGCAGATCCCTGGAGTAAGCATAAGAGCAAAGGTAATGTGAGTCTAAGAGCAGAGCAGAGCAGAAGAGCTGTGAAATGAGAATTGGGCAAGATAATTTAAGTTCATGAAAACAAACCCTGCAGGCAGCTCTGTGAATATTTGCTTGTGTGGAAGATGCCACCATTGCAGACCCCATGGCCAAAGAAAGCAGTTTTGGCAAGAGGTTTCTCTTTCCCTCACATGGCATCTGTAATGTAAATAGCATCCTGGAGGAAGCTGTAAAGGTATAAAGTCCTATCACAGCTCCTCCTCATTTGGACTGCTGGGCACCGGAAGACTTTTCCTATTACTGGAGAAGAGGGCAGCTGCTCCTGCCTTTCCACACCTGGTTGCAGTCCGGGCCAGGGCTGTATTATTAAAAGTCTCCTCAGGTGGGCATTGCAGGGACCTGACCTGGGGCTGTAGTATTTGCATTGCATGTAGATACTGGCATCTTCCATGTGCTGTCAGAATGAAGTCCTGGGAAAACGAGCTTTTAAATGTAACACAAAAATTCTGACAAAATATGAGCAAATCACAGAATCATTGAATCACTAAGGTTGGAAAAGACCATTAAGATCATCTAGTCCAACCATCAATCCATCACCACCAAGCCCATTAAATCATGTCCCTCAGTGTGACGCCTACACGTTTCTTCAATACCTCCAGGGACAGTGAGTGACTTCACCACCCCCCTGGGCAGTCTGTTCCAATACCTCACCACTCTTTCTGAGAAGAAATTTTAATATTTATTTGTTATTATTTTATATTTATTAAATATTAATAATTAATATTATTCCAACCTCAACCTCTCCTGAGCTTTGGGGTATTTTTTTTCTATACAAATATTGAGTAAATCTACCAGATTTTTCCTTTCATATAGCTCTGTAAATGCTCATGCTGTTGGTTACAATATAAAATTGTTTTTTCTAGAGCTTGTAGCCTGTTCATAGTGATGGCTTGGATTCACACAAGCTCTACTGGAAGAAACAGTAAGCATGATCAGTGATGCTACGAATTTGTATTAAGTTACTTAATTTCTAGTGTTATTAATTTCTATTTAGTCTCATTTAAAATCACTGGGTATAAACAGGAGGCACACAATGGGCACTCATCTGTGCTTCACAGGACATCCACCAAGAAAAGATCCGCAAGGAAGAAATCCAGCCATGGTTACAAAGAGAGGTCAGGATAACCAGCTGGGATGGAGACATCACTACCTGTAAGTAAGATGTGAGAGATAGCCCTGCCCTTCAGCACCACTGTGCTACAGATAAGTACTTAAGCCCAGTATTTTTCCTTCTGGCTGTGTCCATCATCAGCCTGGTGTGCAATGACCTTCCAGGCATCATGCGGCATGTCAGTGAGAAGGCACATGATGAGGAAATACAGCTCTCCTGGGACCAAATGGTGTGAAATGTCCAGAGGAAGGGGACATTTCACGTGCTGCAGCTTTACGTTGGCTTTGTACATATCTGCTCCAATGAGCCACTTCAGCTGAGAGGTGTTGAGCTGTGACCGATTGGTCGTGGTCATATTTTCCCTCTCTCTTTCCTCACATGCTGTAGATAAGGTGGCCGTGTTTTGGCAGCTGGGAGGCAATGCTCTATCTGTTTGCACATATAGGACACTAATGGAAATGTGCCACCCATCAGCCTGGCTGGGTTTGACTTGCATCTGCTCCCTGTGCAACATCAGCTGGTTCCTGAGATAGCAGTGCACAGAGCAGCTGTTTGCAACAACCCCAGCTACGGACTGAGGATGGGACAGATGTGTGTGCTCAGAACTCCAAAAGCCCTGGTGTTAGTTCTGCTTAACACGATGCTCTATTGTGAAGATTCTAGATTTTAGTCTCAGTGACTTTTTTTTTCAGTTTTTTATGATGTTAGACTTATTTATTTTATTACCCGTGACTCTGTGTGGCTTTTCTGCAGCTAAACCATACCATACCATTTTGACCTGGCCATTAGTTTCTGGGTTTGGAGCAGGCAGAAAGAATCCCAGACTCTATGCTGTGGATGAATTCTTCATTCCTCATTTCAGCTCACCCATCCTTGCTCTGCCACCAAAAGGTTCAGGCACTGGCATAGGCTGCCCAGGGAGTTGGTGGTGTCACTGTCCCTGGAGGTGTTCATGAAAGGTGGAGATCCAGCACACAGGGACGTGCTTTAATGGGCATGTGGTGATGGGTTGATGGTTGATGACCTTAGTTGTCTTTTCCAACTTTAATGATTCCATGAATGGCAAAAGGAGCCCTGTTTGGCTGGGCTCTCCCTTCAGACCCAGCACATCTGGTTTGAATTAGCCCATAATACTGCTGTCTTCCCTAATTTTGCCAGCTCCTGGCCAACATTCAGGCAAGGCTTTATCTTCTAAATCTCCTTTTCTTCTGCTGCCTTTCCAAGGTTTGTGTGCTCCAAGGTGCATTGGGGAGCAGAGTGGAAGCAAGGAGATTCAGTATCACCTGACTGTCTCCTGCAAAATCCATGTTCTGTTGCTTAATGACAATGTCTCTCTAAGATGTCCCAGCACTGCATGTGAAATTCTGAATGTGAAGCACAGCTATGCAGTAAGAAGTG